ATCATCATCATCATCATCATCATCATCATCATCATCATCATCATCATCATCATCATCATCATCATCATCATCATCATCGCCGTCGCCGTCGCCGTCTTTCCTCCATGGTTCAGAATACGGAAGTTTTCGATTTTGGAAAAAGTTGTTTTTCCTCTAGCCGCTTCCTTTTTTTTCAAGCCGCTTCCTTTTTTTCATGCCGCTTCTCTTTTGACCAGATAGTTTTCAGTTTCAAATAAACGCGCCATGGCCAGATCCTTGGGTAGAGGGCAGCACCAGACACTGGCACATGATATAACCTCACTTACTCATGGGGAAAGGAAAACGTTTGGCCGTCGATGAACTTACGTTGACATTGGCATATTATTTTTCAATTTGCTGAATGAAGCAGCAGTAGTTTCTATAATATTTCTGTAAGTTTCGATAAGATCTTTGTTTTTTAGTATAAATTTCGTAATGTCATTGATTTGCTATTAAAACGCAATCGCTTTCTGAAGCTTGATGAAATTTGCCTATTTTTAAAAAAACATTCAATTAAACATTAGATGGTAAAGTCTTCTACCGGTTGTCTAAAGAAATATAGTTTTCATCATTGCTTTTTATCAACTGTCTCCTCATCATATACTAGGAATGGATATAGCCTACATGTTCCCAGGATATTGAAAAAGCAATCACTAATTTGACTCTCCCAATGCTTATATTGTTATATTATCTCCTTTCAGGTATTCTGGTATTAGGAATGGCTGCATCAATAGATCAGCTTGTTGCGTCATTAGATACCCAATGCGATGTTGCTTCAAATCCTTTTGACCCAAACCGTCCACATCCACGGCTTTCAGAATTCGCTTATTTTAGAGAACCAGCTAGTTTAATGGGTGATCAAGAAAAAAGGAGAACTGAATTTCTGGAAAGGCAGAAAAGGTATTGAACTGCATTTACAAATTATTTTGTATTTACTATGCATCACCCTATATATGATCAGATTTTTTTGACACTTGTCAGCAAACGTGAGAAACTAGTCAATCTACAGCGTCGACTTCTCAATGAACCTGGGGAAGTCCTCAATAATCAAGATTCAGAAGACAATTTGTCCCCGGATAAAAAGGAAACAAAGTCGACCGGAACAGAGCAGAGAAATTGGACATTTACTAATCAACTAATGTTGTCTGAGTGGTTGGTTGATATTCCACCTGATTTAGAGGATAATTGGCTTATCAAGCCATGCCCCAAAGGACGTCGAATGATGGTTGTTGCCCATAAGGTAAAATACTTAAATTCTTTTCCCTCATCAACATTTTTATTAATTGATGCCAATATTATTATCATTATTTTTGTTTTGGTTCTACCCATCAGGGATCGACAAAAGCGTACTCCAAAGCTGGTCATTTTGTCGCATCTTTTGCCTCTGCTTTACCCAATGCAAATAGCTCATCACCCCAAGGTATTACAATCCTAGATTGTATTTGGAATATGGAGAACCGTACCTACTTTGTACTTGATGTGCTAGCTTGGAACAATCTTGTATTACTAGACTGTGAGGTAAGAATACTATTTGTGACTGACTCTGTGAAATATGTTATTTATTTGTGATATGTTAACATTGAATTTTGTACAGACTGAATTTAGATTTTATTGGCTCAAGACAAAACTTGATGAATTTCCTGAAGTCCAAACTCACTCTGATAAAAACAGAAATGCCTTCTTGGCACTTCCCTCTTATGAGTGTCAAGAGAATTTGATGACTGAACTTATGAGCCATAATCCTATGTTCTTTGAGGGCAAGGACCCAGGATTAGATGGCTTGCTCTTTTATCATAAGAAAAATTTGTATGAACATGGTTCTACACCATTAGTGAGTGTTTTCAATTTCTTTTTGTGGGCATTTTTCAAATTATTATTGTTAAACAAATAGGAAACATAGTTTTCTTTTTCCCCCATTTTCTAATAAAAAGGTTACATGGATTAAACCTTTTATGATGGAGGATGTACTTGGTATCAAGGTGCACCAGAACTACATTGATGAAAGACCAGCTGGGTGAGAACTGATGCCACTAATGAAACTGTCAAAAGGAGTCTGATGCATAATTACAGTCTGACAGAAGTGTTTCAAGCTCATGTGCTTTACAGGTACTGCAATCAAGCTGGATATATCAAAGAATTTGAAGAGGCAGCCCTTGCTCGGAGAGGCAAAGGCAAAGGCAAAGGTTCTTGGCGTAGGCGAGAAGGAAAGCAGGATGAAGATAAAATGGACTGTTTGGAAGAAGGCTCCTCTTCTGATAAGAAAGGCAAAGGTTCTTGGCGTAGGAGAGGAGGAAAGCAGGATGAAGATAAAATGGATTTGGTAGAAGAAGGCTCCTGGAGGAGGAGAGAAAAGCAAGGCGGAGACAGTGAGAAAATAGGCAGTTTAGATGCAGACCCGTCTTCTAAAATGGTAAGATGATAAATAACTATTTTTCTCCTGCTTTCGTAGTTTGATTTGAAATGATTGTAAATAAGATTGCTTTTGTCAGGAAGAAGAAAAGTGAGTTATTTTGGGGAGGATGAGGCATTTTAATTGTGGTGTGGAAAAAAAGACTTTATTTTTGTTACGTTTTTTAATTAATGATCGAAATATACAATGAATAACAGTAAAAATACAATTTCATAAGCATATCCATGAGATCAAATGATGATTAAAAAATTGATCCAAGGTAGCACAGGATTACTTTAATTTAATACAGTTTGATAACATTTGTGCATGATTACTATTATGAGTGAACGAGCCAGAGTTGGCTATGTATATTTCAATCAAGTTTTAAGTACTTGTTTGACCAATGGTCATCTCTAGATCTAAGAGAAGATTAGGAGAGAGCAAACATAGCAAACCAATCATTGCCTATAACACACAAGCAACAACTTGGTTGTTTGACCTACAAAACCTACCAAAAATTAATTTGTCATTATATATGATGGAAAATTCAAAAAAACAGGCTTCTTAACATCTCTACCTCTCACTGCACGCCCGCTTGTACTGTAGAACAGACTGTAGACTTTCTGTAACATACAACTCAAAAATATGTGGTTCCAATAATAACAGCAACCTCTCACCCTCACTAGTAACATTCAATAAAAACATCTTATATTGCCAGAAAATTCAACCTTAACAGTTTTGTACAGCAACTTTAACAGGCAGTTTCATAAGCACCCTTAGTACTGCGATTATAAAGTTAAAATAATTTCTTTTTCATTTTCAATTACAATGTTTTAATGCAAATATCAGAACATATACAACCACAACTTTTAGAACCATTCATGACTTTCCTGAAATAATGACAAATACAGAGATGAGAAAGTGCTTACATGGGACAAGGTGTTACCTTGCATCATGGGAGCTCTCTCCTCTTATATAATATACAGTGCCTGAGAAGAAGTACATAAAAGAAGGCAAAATTTCAAGAGATAAATCCTGTGACCATCAGTGGCTGCAATGCACAAAGTTACAAACACCGTATGATGTACTTTTAAAGACCCAGTTTAAAGATGGGGTTGAAAAAGCCTTAAGGAAAATGCAACACTGGCATGCCATATATCTGAGTTTTGGCTCAGTTGTCCATGTTATTACCAAAGTTTAATAAAACTAAGGGAAAACAGCACCACTAACCAATTGATTGATGTAAAACCAGCGAAAAATGCCAGAAGCCTCGGTTCAACAAAATATTAAATGCTATCTCAAAAGTTTTTTAAAATATGCTAACTAATAAAATTTCCTAACTAAAGAAAAATAAATCACAGAGCTGAGCGCTTGCTGTGTTAGCAATAATTAGGTACTAACAATTCGATGTATGAGGTGTGGACGTTTAAAGGTAAAGATTGTGAGTTCTTTCCCCAAAAAAAGACCATAAGTTATGCACAGCATTGCCCTATTATGCAGATATCAGATCTAATTGAAAATGGATTCATCAGAATGACTGATGTAGCTCTAATGCTGTCTTAAATTTACTAATCTATCACAAAAAAAAAAAAAGGGAAAGAAAAAAGAAAGAGGAAAAATAACTATCAAATACTGGTTGTTCTACAGAGGGTTAGTTGTAAGTCTGGCAGAGTAAATGCTCAGAAAACAAACATCACACATTGAAAACACCCAGCACAAAAGTAAACAGTGGAAGACATCCGAGTTTCATTGTTTCATCCACAAATGAAAATTACAGATGTGCAAAACTGTAACACATATTCAACATGCCCAAATTTTGAATTTTCTAATTCAACTTTCAAACAAAACAAAACGCAAGCAGAGATAACAAAATGAATGTTACAAAACTTAATGGAAATTAGTTAGCCACGCTCTGAAAGTGCTTTGTCTTTTTGGATGAAAAAAATCAATGAAATTTTAAAAAAACAAACAAAAATAAACATACAGGTACACTTCACAGCTCCATTGCTGTAACTCCAAAGGTCAGAGTGATACAACTAGTTAAGTCAATAAAATCAGTCATGACTAAAACTCAGCCAATGACAAATTCCAATATCCAGGGGTAAAAAGAGGGCAACTGGTGTTGCATGCAATGTTGTGCAATATTTTGAGAATTCTGTTTTTAAAACTACGCTTAAGCTTAAACCACAACAAGGAACATTTGCACAACACTTCAAATAGCATCCAAGGTTGCTCTTCCTACTCCCTAAAACTGGCACTTGTGCCGCAGCTGAGGGTAGATTAATGGAATGCCTAAATCGCATCACAGCTCATACAATTACAAACAAACTCCAAGGTAGACTAAAATTATCTTTCTACATGAGCCACTCTCACAAGGAGTATTGAGACAAATATAACTCTTAGCTAAGTGAAATAGAACAACAATTAGGTAAAATATATATTGCATAGAAGGTCAGTTATGGTCAACCTGCAATAACCACAGCGTTGTTCCCACACTGGCCCAAAAACAATGAGGTTCCCCAATAAACTTTGGGTGCCCTCTAAAATTGATATTCGGAAAATAATCAAAATTAACTAGAGTGAAAAGGATTTCTCTCACTAATTTCAATGAGTTAAAACCTTTCCAACAAATGTCATCTATCCATAAATAAGCTCACTACCATTGAACTCAAGTCAAAATTAATAAGACTGAGGCTAATGAAGGAACTTCTACATAGACAAAACTCAGGTCCACATACTTGAAATAAAATCTCAGGCAAAGCCCACTCTCATGAAATTTTCTCATACCACATGTAATACATTTTCCTACATCTATGAATGTATGCGTTCTGATATATCCATTGCACTAGTAATAAATTGGCAATGAATATCAAGGCCATTAAAAAGGGTGAATAATTTAAAACAAATGCAAAGCACGCTAAGAGAGGTAGTGTTATGTTAGAAGAAATTAAACTAATAGATAAAATTGGGCTCCGCAAGGTCAAAGTTTGCCTAAAGCGGGCCAACAGAAAACCTCAGCTGGGGAACTTTGAGTAGAAGGTGTAGCTCAGGTCGTAGTTGTTCAGACGGCAGTACTGAATATCGCCCTGCATCCACGGACCAAAGCGAGACAGTTTCTCCATTTCATGGGCTGAGGAGGAAGCAGGAGAGGCCTACAAAACAGGAAAGAAAGGGCATTGTAGCATAGAAACTAATGAACCTCATTATGAAAGTGGGTAAACTGTGGATGAAATAATTTACCTGGTTAGCAAATATGGTCACTACAAATTTTCCTGGTTTGAATGTCTCAATAACACGAGAAATAACATCCTTGTACGATGACTGTGGGATGTTGCTTTCAAAACTGACATAAGAGAAGTCAGGCTCAGGTGTTATATGAATTGTCATATAATGACCCTAAAAAAGAATAAAAATAAAATAAGCAAATTGAAATTAAACTTATGTTAATTATCTAAAAAGATAAAACTGATAAACACTATAAAAACTTACAGCCTTGTTGATTCCATTCATAGAGTAACCACAGGGGTCAAACAAAAAGTCATCAATGCGCATGCTGGGAATTAGCTTATCTATTCCAGATTTCTGCAAATGTAAAATTGTGGAACAGGTAAGGCTTTAGTTCAAAAAAAAAATTGATTGGAACAAAGTTTGCAATAACCTTTAAGAAACAAACCTTAGTGGCCTCAGTGGCTGATGATGAATTAGCTTTGGTAAAAATGCTCATAACTTTGGGATCGAGATCAGACATCAATATCTCCAGGGTTTGATCAGAGCGAGTGAGATCAGAGGATGGCACATTGTTGGGGTGTAGTGTATAAAGATACCAGCATTCAGACTCTTCATCACCAAGGCAATAGGACGAACCATCTGAAACAGACAAATATTATATAGCAGTGACAAATTAAGATGTGTCAAATGAAAAGTTAACAGGTGCCATTTGTACCTTTAAAGATTGAATTCAAGAGATCCACTTCCTGGTCAAAGGATCTGTGTGGAGATTTCTGCAGTTCAGGGCGTTTGAAATTTTTGCGTGAATAAAATACATCCTAAAACAAAACAAATATATCTTTAAACCATAGTGATTAACTTAACGGTGAAACTGGAAGTAGGACACATTATGTAAGTACAAACCTCGTATGCATTGAATCCAGCATGCAGCTTAACCAGTTTGAGCAGAGGCTCAACACATTCTAAAGGAGTTGTTGTTCCACATGTCTTCAAGATGAACCTGTCTTTAGACACAAACATGCTACTTTCACTGCAGGAAAAAAAAGAAAAGGCATATTAATTTAAGTTTGAAACAATTATAATAAAATAATGATATTTACAGCAATACCAAATTGAAATATTCTAGTCCTAGAAACATTCCTATAAATTTTGACAGAAAACTCCTCAAAGAGTAAATACCTTAAGACATAAGCATCAACCTGCTCATTGCTAGAGAAGCTGATTACTTCACAGTGAACTATCTGCAGCAAGCTCTCCCACTTGTTCCTGTAAAAATAAGTAAAATACAAATGTATTAGCATTGGTCATACTTAAAATTAGTCCTCACCCCTCTAGGAAACCAGTTTTAGCTAGCTAAAATTGGCACGAAAATACAAACTTCAGATCTATTTAAAGATCTGTGTTATGGCAACAAAAAATAAAAACAAGATTTCAAAATCAGCTTAGATTTTAAAGGTAAATATTGGGGGAGGAAAGGGGGTAAATATACACATAAATTTCCAGAATTTTTGTAAATGAAAGAAAATGTTTCATATTCTATTCACTTTTGCCTTCAAACAGCTGACTTACTGAATAACCTTCAGAAAATAACACCAGAACATACATTTTCTGACTTTAAGGCACATTCTCACATGTGGACCATGTGAGAAAGCAGACGACGGAAGAAGACACACAGAGAAGACAGCAAAGTACAGGATAATAGGAAGAATATCGAGCCGAGTTTGAACTCTCCCTTTCACCACCCCGAGAGAACCTTGACATTGGGGGTGGCTTTAGGGGTTGTTCAAGGTAATAGGGTTAGGTTGCCGATGGAATAGACGATGTTCTAGCATGTTCTATGGTCGACAGATTTTGCGAAAGGCAGTAAAGTGGCCCTGGAAGCATTATGAGATCCGGGTTTGTCTTGGAACAACATTCCAATGTATGACTTATTCCGTAGATGACATATGAAACTAGAGGGATGAAGAGGCTTTCACTGCTGTCCACTCAGAAAGTCGAGGACGGAGATGGGCTGACTGGGGGATGAGGTGGACGTACCTCGGGATGGAACGAAGATCGCAAGTCTTGGTTTTGCCGTCGGTGCGCGTGAACCATATTTCAAGCAGCTTCTCAACCCCTTCGAAATACTGAGCACCATTAAAGTTTTGGTCAGTTTCTGCCATTTTTTCCATGTTTAACCTTCCTGGGACTCTCGACTCGACTGCACAGTTTCTCCGCTGCCTCCCTTTTAGACAGCTGGCTGGGTGCCCGCTGCGCTCGCGTTTCCCGTCGCAGCGCTCGGAAAAAGAGCGACGTAGGGGAGAGAGGAGTGGAACACCGGACCGGAACCACTACGAACGTGGCAGGACAGGAAGATGAGTTTGAACGGTTCTAGCTCAAGTGGCTCAAGTCAAATTTTAAATTGACATTTTAGAGAAAGAAAACTTCAATTGAGCAAGAACATGATGGCCCTTTCCTTGAAAAGGCAAAATAAGTTTTAGTGACGTTGCGTTGGCTGTTGTCATAATTTCTCAAAGGCGTGTGAGAGTCGACTTTTTGCATCGAACTCGAATATATCGTAGCAGACGCCGAAAGAAAGCAGAAAACTAACCGGAGACCAGGACACTCAACCAAAAGTGCATTCATAAGATTGAACTTCGCCGCTTCGACAGACAGAAAACACTTCTATAGAAGATATTTGTGATTCAGCACAATTCTACATTTTAATGGAAATGGATAAATTAAAAGTAAATGTCATTCTTTGCAAACAAGCCCTAGTAATATAGCCTGCCTCTGCTTAAAAGCCCAGTGAATTTGTTACCTTTGACACCTGTTGTCATGTGCTTTGGATGATGATTGTAATTGTAACTGTGCCTTTATAATTATCTCAAAACCAAGAACTATTTCTTTTCTCTTCTGACCCTTTATTGTAAATCTTTTCATAATGAAAAGTTTATTTTTTGATATTGTTTATTCTGTTCAAACTCTAATTTTTTTGTAATTTTTCTAATGGTGACAGATTCTTTGTTTGCACGGGTATGGACAAAGTGGTGAATATTTTCACAAAAAGTTGGGAGGCATTCGAAAACTTGTGAAAAGCGTGGCAGAGTTTGATTATGTTTCGTCACCTCATCTAACTAACATGGAAGCAGATCCTGGAGACATATTTTCTGGCCGTAAGAACTTTTTGTATGCTTTCATGCTATTTTTAATATGAGAAGTTATCCATTTTTTAAATTTTATTTTATTAACCCAGCTCGGCATGCATGGTGGTTCACAAATGAAGAAATGAAAACCTATGACTCAAAAGAATTTGAATCAAAATGTTTTGGCTTTGAAGAAAGCGTCAATCGAGTAGATGAATATCTTCTAGAGAAGGGACCATTTGATGGCATATTAGGGTTTTCGCAGGGGGCCTGCTTCCTCAGTTTGCTCTGCTGTCTACAACAACATGGGAGTAAGTTGTTCAATGTTAAAAAAATCCTGTTTTATCACAAAGTTATTCTGTTTTTTCTAATGTGTTTATATTTTCAGAACTAAAGGGTAGCTTCAAATTTGCTATTTTTGCCTCTGGCTACCTTTCTCGTTGTGTTTCACATCAAAACTTGTACAACGAGACTCTCAGTCTACCGACATTGCATGTGTTTGGTGAAAGTGACACTGTTATACCAGAAGGTAACTGCTTGGTGTTAATCAACCATTGAGAGAAAAAAATTCAAAGTACTTATTTGTTGTTTCTCTTTGCCATTTTCAGAGATGAGCAAGGCTCTAGCAGATTTTTGTGAAGAGAAGCAAATCATATTGCACCCTGGAGGACATTATATGCCTTCCAATTCTCATTTCAAAGAAGCTTACATGAAATTTTTGAGTATTCGTCTAGCCGAAAAAGTAGACAGTCCAGAGCGTTGAATTGTATTTTTTAAAACATGACCCTGTAAGGTGCTACACCATTTTTCCCGGTGAAACACACATGTTTTTACCTTTACAATCAAATAATATCAACTCCCACTGTAAAATTACATTTAAGTTAAAATATTTTTTAAATAAGTGTTAATATTAACTACGCTCAGCGACCTATCTATGTAATGATTCTCGATAAATTTTTTTAATTGAATGTGATCATCACAAAGATGCAGACCTTATGAACTTCTTTTGATTCCTCTAAATTCATTTTCTGTGAAGAAAACTGTTTAAAAATTGCGCGTTCGTATGATGTACGTATGAAAACTTTTCAGGTACGTTAAACGATGGTTGGTATTTTTGTCTTCCCTCTGTACTTGATTTCCTGATTTCAGCACACGTGTTTAGTTTCATATGACAATGTATTACCAAAAATATATCAATTCTCTTATTCAGAGACGAAATCCATTAAATTCGTGTTCTTTTTCAACCTCTTTTTTTTTCACGAGCCCACGTTTCCAGCCCTGATGTTGACGTGTAGGAGGGGTGGGAACGAAGTGGGGAGGGGGGGTGAAAGGAACCACAGTGACATGTCTGCTCTAAATGTTTATGTTATGTTCTAATAAAACTTACGATGGACGAAAGCGTTGTCAGTAATTCACATGACATTTCATCAGGAAATAGCATTCTGTACGAACTATTCGTGTATTCCGAATGGAAGCTTGACCCAGAATTACCTGTGAGTTTTAAGTAAAAAGATGTCAGTCGCTCTAACCTACTGTCAACACATCACTTCTGTTGAGCTGAAGTATTTTTGCTTTAGTCTGTGTATTAAAGCACCACTGTTTAGTTTCAAAGGACACTCCTTATTTTTATAGTGTTAAACTCTCTTCTCCATAAACCTTTGTTGGAGGACAGGAGGTTAGAACTCATGCCACTGAATGTTTTGAAAATTTTGTCTGTTTAATTTCAGAAACGTCTCTCTCAAAGTCAAGAAGGGTTCACCTCTCTCTTGAAAAGTGCCCTTACCCTTCGTGGACGCAATGTACAATCTGAGCAGGTGCAAAGGTACATTTGAAAAGCAATATTCTGTCTCTGTCGTAGGGAAACGTTTTAGTCCCAAAATCATCGCATCGGTCACAATAGTGTCCCCGTGATGTGTTTTGAAATTACTATTGACCAAACATTTGCAAAAACCATGACCTCATGGATCTTAAAGAAATTACATTTATATTGTTGTGAGAAAAATGGTTTCCTTGGGTGCCACACACCGTTTCAATACAATCAAATTTTTATTTGTTCCAATTTTTTTTCTCTTTTCAGATTACTCACTTGTCAACAGCCATGGCGATTGTGTGTTGGGGATGGTGGCAAAGTTGTTGCTATTATACAAGATTCATCACTTGAAATTCGTTCTTCTCGAGATGCTTATTCATCAGTCATAGCAAAAGCTTCATGTAAGAAACCACATTGTGTCCCTCTTCATCTTTTGTTCTGTTATTTTTTCTCTACAGTAAAATTTTCCTCTCTACAGTACCTAAAGATCCCTTTTCACAATGGAGAAGATGGTGCTGGTCCCCTGACTGCACTATGTTAGCGGTGGGGTTCAGCAACGGCACAATTCGAGTTTATGACCTGATGGGCTGCAACCTCTTTTCTATATTACCTGTATGTCTTCTGTGTTTTTACTACAATCAATGTTAACAGTTCAAACATTTCAAAACCTCACAAGGACTGTAAATTTAGGCATAAAAATACTAATGCCTTTATTTGCACTTTCCAGGAAAAGCAGAAACAAGAACTTACCTTTCCTGATACTGCCAACTCTTTTGCCACATGCTTCTTCCTTCAACCTCGCACTTCATCCCATAAGTGGTATCTCTACTTTCCCTTTCTTTGATTTTTTGATGAATTTATACATTGTATAATATCTCACATTCATCTCTCTTTTTTAGGTCCAGCGAGTTAGTCACAGTTGATTACAATGGTCTGCTGCACAGTTACTTGGTTTCTCCCACCGAAGGGTTCCAAGAAAACCATTCATTTTCCTTTGCTTCAGTGTATCGTAATGGCATTACTTCTGTAGCATACCATCCTGCACATTCCTTGCTTTTTGTGGCAGGACCTGTAATGTGCAAAGGAAGTCTACAATTGCAGGTGGTTTCATGTATCCTTATTTTTACTGCCTAAGCTTTACTTCTGTAACTATAGCCAATTATTTATTTATTTTAATTGTTATTTTTAGGAATTTGGAGACAAAGCTGGAATTACTGCTTGGAGAATTTTGAATGACCACCCATTTTACCAAATTGTCCATCACAATAAAAATGAAAATTTATGTTTTGCAAATAGCATGTGGAAAATACCATTCATTGGATCAAAAAATCTTCTGGTAACCAAATTAGGCAGCCAAACTGTGATCTTAATTATCTTTATGGTACTTCCTTTCTTGGTTGAACCATCTGTTTGATAACTGTTCATGATATCTTCTCTTGCCTCTAGAGTTACGTAGTACGGATGGAAGTTTCACCGTGCGCCACAAGAATGGCTGCCTTGCATTCCTGTGGTGAAGTCTCATTGTGGTCTGTGCCAGGCATCAGGTAAGTCTCCCTTATTGATGTTTATCGATAATATAATTCCTGTAAATTTGGGCCTGTTTCTAAAGTTGTCTTTATGTTTTCTCAACATAGGCTGCAAGGGTTTTGGCCTTTAATTAACCAACCTGACTGGAATATTCAGAACCCTTTGACAGTGGAACTAGAGTCACCGAATGGAAAGCGTTCTTCAAACATCCGTCAGTCTTTATCCAATGAATCTTTTTACCCTATTGATTTAGATTGGTGGTCAGAAGAGGTAAGTTAATTATAGCAACACGTGCTCAAACCGCATGTAATTGTTTAAAAACCTTTTTTTCTTAATGAAAAAAATCTGTTTGAAATTTTGCAGTCTCTTGTGTTGGTAAGAAACTCAGGGGCCGTTAGTGTGTGTGAAATTTCCAGCCTCCAAAACTTACTAGGTGAAAGTCCTGAGTTTTTGGCAGGACCAGCACAAGTTAAAAGGTTTCAAAATGAGAAAGGGTTTCTTGCACTTGAATGTGATGTAGATATTTTGAGCAATGGACGTAACTCAAGTGAAGAAGCTTTTGAGGTAACTGTTAGTTTGGTAGGTGTAGGTGGCTTTTTATGTGGACCAGCCATGTTCTTGTGACTTAAAACTTGTCATTTCAGGAGGATTCCTTAGAGGAGTTAAGTGATGACGAAGCAGAAGATGAAGCACCAGTCACAGTAGTACAACGTGTTGCCACTGTTCTTAATGCAGTTGCATACTTGGTGACAGATTTAGAGCGTTTCAGACCAAAAAGGAGAAGGCTTAAATTGTGCAGACGTACTTACAGGCTTCTTGCTCTTCGTAGTACCACACCTGAAGAACTGTACTCTAGAAAGGTAATGCAGAGTTGCATCCTTGCTGGCATTTGTCAAACCACTTGTCTCTTCGTGTTTTTTTAATAAATCAATTCATTATGTCACACAGCTTGATAATGAAGAATATGGAGAGGCTCTAACACTGGCACATGCATACAATTTAGATTGTGACTTGGTGTACCAAAGACAGTGGCGAAACAACAAAGTGTCCGTTGCTACAATCAGAGATTATCTATCTAAAGTTTCTAACCAGACATGGGTACTTAGAGAATGTCTTGAACGAGTACCTGAATCACTTCTTGCAGCTCGTGAGTTGCTAGAATTTGGCCTTAAAGCAACATCCAAGGAATCATTTCGAAACCTGAGTGGAAAACGCAAGGTTAAAGATGTTGAGGACATGACTGATAATCAGAAGGAGTTTCTTGTGTTCCGGCATACACTTTTGCGTTATAAAGATCGCCTTACAATGTTTGAGGTGTTTATGCCTGCTTATAATTTTTAATTATTCATTAGATTGTTTTGCATGTTTTACAATAATTCTCTCTTTTCTAAATCCTTTCAGAAAATCCTTGGTGGATTGCAGCTTGCTGATGAACTGTTTGAACACATGGTGTATGCAGATTTTCGATCATCTTCGTCATTACGTGCTTGTGTTCAGTTTGCTAGAGCATCTAACTGCCAAGCAGTTGAATGTATGCTTACTTATCAAAGTGGTCAAACACTACACCATTGGCTTCCTATCCTCAGTAATTTCCCAGAGACTGTTTGCCCCATGGAATACAAGTAATGACAAAAACTGCTTGTAAAAATTCATCTAACCTAAGTTAAACTTCTACATCATTTTTTGTTCTTCCCTTTCTGTATTAGATCTCTGCTTCCTGAACTGTCCCCGGAAGGTGTTGTATTTCCTTGGCAAAAGTCACAGCTTCGTGAGCCAGACTGGAGTGAAAAATACCCCTATGAGTATGTATGATTTTATCATATGTGGTTTTTCTGATAGATAAAGAATTACTTCAATTTCCTCATTTCTCATTTATCTACAATTTTTTAAAATAAATTTTGTATCATTTTTTTTATTTTTTTTATTTTTTAGAAATGTCAAAGGTCTAGAGCTTGAAACACCTGACATGGATAATAAGTGGCTTTATGAGCATGAACCAGGTCTTTCTGCTTTCCGGGTTCCTGTGGATGAACTGACTCCAAAAATGATTCAACAGTGGTATGTTGAAAGAATAAGAGCTATTGAAAGGTCAAGTAGAATGGTTGACAATGCTCTTATATTACTGCGGCTAGCACAGGATAATAATATCGAGGTAAATGCAGGTACAATTGCTCTTTGATTTTGCATAAGCTGTTGCTCAACTCCAACATTATTTCAGGGCCTTGTAAATCTTCATCAAGAATTGCAAATTTTAGACTCTTTAGTTTATGAACTGTTTTTAGAAGACATTAGTCTTGCTGACTTGGAAAAGAAGTCGCCCTTAGAGAAAGGAAAATTGTTAATGTCAAAAGTAAGTAAGGTTTTTTTTCTTTAATTAGTTGTCTACAGTGTCTGAAGTGACTCCAATTTCCCAATTTTGACCAGAAACTACATTAATCTAATCTTCCTCTAGACTTCAGAGGACTCTTTTATTTCTGACATGAACACACTTCTTCTTCCCTACCTGGACCGCCTGGACAAAGAGGAGGCAGGGATGAAGCTCCATCTTCTCCACAGCTATCTAGTGTCTATTTCAAATGAAAGTTTGTTGTTGCCATTAAAGGTAGGTTCTCAAAAGAAATTACATTAAGATTCATGATTTGATGACTTTTCTGTGGCTGTACTCCTCATGAGGATTATTTCTTTATTTCTTCTCCTTGTTTAAGTTCTTTGAAGGCCAAGATGAACTAGCAACTGGGCTTTCGCCAGATGAGCTATCAACTATAGCAGTAGACTGTATTTACTCCTATGTGGATACTAATGACCTGCACTTGGCTCAGGCAATTCTGATCACTATTCCCGTTCAAAGGTACATAATATAATTGAAGGTGATGTTTTTTTATCGTACAATGATTGTATTATAATTAATCTCAATTGGTTTTGTTTACTTTTTACAGAGTACTTACGGTATCACACATAGAACAACTGGATTCTTTGGAACTGGAGTTAGCAGCAAGCGTTATTCTACAACGCAATGGTACACCCAAATCTCTTGGCTACATAAGGGACAATAAACATGATGACCTGACCGTAACTCAACTTCTTATACGGGTTGCAAGAACTGTAGCCAGTAGGTTAGTGTTGTTTTCAAATTCATTATCCCTGTTACTAAGAGGCATCTCCTCTTTTTGAATTGCTGCCTTATTCTGCTAATTTATGACTGTCCTTATTTCTTTTCTTTTTTTAGTAACCCCTCTGCATCAGAAGCAGTTTGGATATCTTTGCTGAATGACCTTTTGGATTTGCAGAAAACTGTTTTTAATTGTGTGACTTGTAGCACATGTTATGAGGTTTGTCATGAAAATTCAATACACCACTACCTCCACCTACAAAAGCTGTATGCAATAATATGGTTTGTTAATCATTTTCTATTTCTCATGCAGATTTTCTGTTCAACTTTGCTCTCATCTGGAAGCATGTCATCAATTAAGTTGGCTGGAAGTTATTTAAATTCAGCTTCACCAACTCGATCTGAAGTGTCCCAAATAGCGAAAGAGAAGTGTGTTGATCTGGTACTCTCTGCTGCACGAGAATATATGGATTCAGCTGGAACCTTAACTGATCCATCCATGGAACTTGCAAGGTAAGTCCAGCATGCAAAATGTATCCCTAAAAAATAAATTTTATAGTTTTACATTTTTGATTAAATGTGTGTATAAAAAAATTCAAAAATATTATTTTTGCCAGGGCATGTTTGTATCTTCTACCGACAGAAGATTTAGATATTCAAGAAGAAAGGAATCTCTTATCAGCATTCCAACTTCTTCACGATTTTGGAATGAGAATTCTTCCCATACAAGGTTTTTTTTTTTTTGTTCTGCTTTTCATATCTTGCCCTTGTCAGCAATCAAACTTTAACAGTTGTTGTTTACAGTTCGCCTGTATCCTGATAGATTGCGACTTGTTGAAGAATGTCTGAAAAAAAAGTCAGGGGCTCATCGCAATTCAAGTAAATTGTTACAACTAGCTGCACAGTTAAACATTCATGCTGACAACCCCAGTGAAAGGCAAGGTCGAGTACTAGTCCTGGTTGCCGAAGCTGCCTTTTCTGTGAGTGACATGTGTTAGATTACCAGAAATCTTTCAGAAGAACTACAGAAGTAGTTGCTACTAAAGTCGTTCAATATAGCATAATAAGAAAACATCTGTGATTTCATGCTTTTATGTGCAGGCAAGTGATTTCCGCAGTTGTGCTGAAACATGTAATCGGCTTGTTGCCGCAAATTACACCAATGGCTGGAGTATAGCAAGTACTTTAGCAAAATGTGCGGAGTTCAAGGATCTCTCAACTAGAGCACAGCTTTTATCATTTGCTCTACACCACTGTCCTCCTGATATGCTACAAGAGCTTGTGAACATAAGGTCTGTAGACAATCAATTGTATTACTTCTATAACCCTGTGAAAATTTCAAAAAGGAAATAATTGCTGACAGTCGACAAATTTCTCATTTTGATAGACGCACCCTTGAAATGGAGTCCTTGCAACAAGTAGTTAAAAAACAAATTGTTATGCACAATTCAAGTCTATCCTCACATTTAGAAGGTCACAATGTCAATCCACAAGTAGGTCTTTTAATTAAGGGGTTTAAGAAAAGAAATATGTATGTGTGTTTTTAATTTTATCATATTTTTTCTGTGTCACAGCAGTCTGAGTCTGCTGGTTTAGATTTAATCCAGTCCTTATCTACTGTAGAATCAAGTGTTCAAGAGACAACTCAACGCCTCTTGAGCTGTGTTGGAGATTCTCAATTTTGGAAAAAAGCTCTTCGTATTGGGTAATTATTTCATAGGAAATGTTTCTAACAAACAAGTATTGTACATTTTGGTCAAGTCAAGTATGTTTATTCATTTCTTTTCTCTTATTGTTTTAGCTGGGATGAGAGTATTGAAAAAAACGACTCCAAGACAAGCAAATCTGCTGAACATCACATATGTCATGCTTTTTATTCCTCCCTTTACAAATCAACAGCTTTCTCTCCTAGTAAGCTTGGGTGCAGTTACGACTGCTTCTCTGCCCCTGATATGACACCCCAGCTTCAACTAGAACAAGCCCTTTTAAGAATATCCTTATTAGAGCAAGAATCTGAAAAAGAGAATTTACCTAATGGTGGGTGTCACCAAACCATCACTTCTCTTATGAAATTTATGTATTTAAAATAATTTGTTAACTTTTGTGTGTTTTTATTTCATATATGATTTCAGTTTTGACAGAATGTGCCCTTTCTCTCCTATCTGAAGACTATCACCTTGGAATGGGGTATCTTCTCTCGTTACCCAAGTCGTTTGCTAAGGAGGCAAGTCACCGGGTTTTTGAAGCAAACATATCAACTGTAAACCTACAACTAGCTCAGTATTATTCAGCCCTCCAATGGTACAGCAATCTTGTTAAAGGTGACAAAGAGAAAATCAGGAATGTATTTCTCTACAACCCAAAAGAGGTGATAATATTTGCTTTTGTTATGTTTGAAGAGATGTGATTAATTTATTAATTATTTTTCAGAAAATGATTATATTTTAGGTTTTTTTTCTGTAGATTTAAAGCCTCTTTGTACTGTTTCTAGGTGGTTTCTCTTGCCCAAAGATCAAATTCTGTGGATGATCCATGGCAAAATGAATTACTTACCTGGAGAGCTCAGCTTGGTGACTATGTGCAAGCTCAAGATCTTTTAACTTTAGACTGTGGAGTTGACGTTAATCGATTTGCCTCTGATGATCAATATCGCCATGACTCAATTCTGGGGCTTGCCATGTAAGTATTAGTGTGCAATGTAAGTAGAGTCATCTATGAAAATCGATAATACATATCTATTGTATTTTTCTTTCTAGGAATGAAGACAGCGAAAGATTACGCTTTGCTTTGGCACTTGCTACAAGGCATGGTGTGGACCGTGCTGAAGTCGTTGCAGAGCACGTCTCTAACCTCCTCCTAAGCGGCTTGCCAGAGTCTGAAGTAAAACATCGCCTCTCTGATTCTGACTTAAATAAAATTATCCAAGAGGCCCCTGAGGTGGTAAAAGAAAAGTAAGTATCTGAACCTTTAGAAATCTAATCTAAAACACCACATTTTGTTTTAATTTCAACTAAAAAATTTATAAATTTTGAAGGTTGGAGACTTCAGTGTTTTCACATATAGATGGAAAGCAAATTAATTTACTGGAATTGTATTACACCATACTGAACCAAGTTGCACCTTCGCACCGTAATGTTCGATTGCTCCCTAAAGATCACCTCAAGTTGTTGGGGAAGGTGAAAGCTACAACTGCCTGTATGTTAAGAAATGTTGCTATTTTCTCATGTGATATCCTTTGTGTCATTGTTTAATAACACTAATTACTCTTCTTTTTTTAATACTCCAGCACTTGATTACAAATTACTTATCTCTGGACCAAAGCAAACTATCAAAGCAGTGGAGTCATCTCTAACTGTAGATAACATTCCACTTGTAGCCAAACTTCTTAAAGCAATGCCCTCGAGTCTAGCAAGCCCTATGACAGCAAGCCAACTCTATGCAATCTATCTGAAGCGTCAACTTCTGGTAAAGTTTTGGCCCAGGCATTTAGGTAAGGTATTGTTTTAGAGGGGTTTAAGAAATTAATGTAAATTTGTATGCTGCAGGTTTCCAGCAATGTATCCATCAAACCTATTACTCCTCTCTTGGTTCATATCAAAGGGGAGGATATCATCCAAGTTATTGAGAGTGTTTTGTTTACTGATTTAAATCAAAGAAGACCTCTCTCGAATGAAAGTGCAGAAGAGCTGATTGCCGCTGCACTCCTTCATTGTGAATTTTCAGACTCTGAAAAGACTATGGAAAAGCTTGCTTGTTGGAAAGATCACATCCGCAACTCAAGGTGGTTAACAGATAAATGGCCAGACGAAAACTCTTGCAAGTAAGTTGTGCACGCATTGCGAGATCTGTTCACATTATGCCTTTTCCCCCCAATTTGAGATTTACTCTTCTAATCCGCATACTTTTCAGGGATTACTATCTCACCTATGGAGAAAAAAGTAACCTAATTAATTTTCTCCACAATTCATTCTTTAATGATAATAAATCAGTAGAATTTCTTGTGGACTTATTAAAAGTCATATCAACATCATGCAACATAACTGAGGATAACTTAATACTGGACATATTTAAAAACTCTATTGAACAGTTTGAGTAAGTGTCTGTATTATAAAGTCAATGATTTTCTTTGGAGAAAATTATAATAAAACTTTGTGTCTTTTTCCTTCTAGGAGAGGTGCTGAAGAGAGCCTATCCCAATTGATTGCAGCTCTTTCCAGGATAGAACAATTGTCTTTCCTTGGGAAATTAAATGGATCCAAAGGTGATTGGGAACAAATTCTTCGCCCTTTAGCAATGCAAGAAAAATTATCCCCTGATCACAGACTTAAAGTCTTCAATATTCTTCAGGTATAGAAATTATGAATGTTACCTCAGTCTTCTCTTTAACCAAAAATGTAGCCATCACTGACTTCTTTGTTCTCTACCTGTTTATTAAATTCTAGCAAAGTGATACTGAGACCACCCAAGAACCAACACTTCTTTTGTCACATACAAAAACTATTCTTGCCTCGTCGTGGCCTCAGATAACGGTAGCAAATGATGAAATTCTTGATGAGGAAAAACGATCAGAACTTTTTCTCAACCTCATTCAGAATTCTGCATCATGGCAGCAGAGAGATGCTCTTAGGAGCATTTTAGACTTGTGGCCTCCCTTCTCTAGAAATTGTCAAAAGTGAGTTAATGAAACAACTTATGCCTTACATTTGAAAGAAAATTCTAGTTGTCATTTCAAAATTCATTTATCTTTCTTTTAGCACTTTCAAGATTTGTTCTGAGCTCTTACTGAACTCTGTGGTTTGTGATAGTGGGAAGTGGACAGAGCAAAAAGCATCCTATATTGTTGATATTTTCAGTAGATATCCACTATCTTACAGTGTAAGTCTTATTTTTAAGAGAATCTGATGCAACTCTTTTCTTAATATTTTGTAGGTTTAGACACATGGATGTAAATTTTATACCTTCATTTGTTGTTTCAGCTTCTTGAACAGTTCCTGTCAGATGTGCAGAAGAAATCGGAAGAGCATTTTGATAAAAAGGGTGACGAAGAAGATGATGATGACGATAACGATGAGGATGATGATGGTGATACTGATGCTAGGACTGATGTGCAATTGCTGATTCTTATCTGCCTACTCAGTGAGGACCCAAAAGCCCATCGCAGAGCTGTAGCCCTTTCTCAACAGCAATTGATGGTAATTTGAAATATTTAATTATTAAAAAATCTTTGTTCAATATCTCTTTAACTTTCCCTTTTTGTGGTTTCAGGTGCCTTTTCAAGAAAGAGTGGCAGAACTTGCAATAGCTCATGGTCTCACAGCTGATCTCCTCTCTACACCGGCCTACTCTGATTTGGTATCTGGAGTGCTTTTCTCTCAGCCTGCCTCCGCCGAAAATATTGTTGAAACCTTAATTGCAAGGAAGCACATACCAGAAGCAGGCTCAGTGATCCTGCGCTCATTTAATTCTGTTCCTCGTTTCATGCGGACATTCTCCGCTTCCATCATAGCTGGCCTAAAGGGCACAAATTCTGACCCGGTGTCTCCGAGCCACTCGAGAGATGTTACCACTGAAAAGCCAATGCAAGTTACCTCTTTGCAGTTGCAGTCCTCTGTGATGGGCAAAGCTTCTAAGGATGACAATGAATGGGATGCTTCTGAAAACGAATGGAGTGATGTGGAGGAAGGTAAAGTTGAAAACACGGAAGAGCCATTCAGTGCGCCAGTTGGTGACAGTGTGAAGAGTTGTGTCGACGACTCTGTTAGCAAGCCTTGTGCAAATACTCTGAAGGCAGACGGTTGGGGAGATCAAGATGGTTGGGACAATTGGTCGGATGAGGAGGAACTAGAGAAGATTGATTCTGAGAAGAAGAGCCGCGAGAAGCACAGCCGAGGTGAAGTCTTACATCAGCAGAAGCACATCAGCCCCCCTCTTCTGCCGTCCCCTCAGAGTGCGTTTGCCCGAGTACCTCCCAGAGAGCTGGGTGCGGCCGATTCACCAGTCCTGCTGCAGGCCAAGGACCCCGAGGACGCGCAACCTTCAGACTGGGATGAGGACGACTGGGGGGCTGGCTGGGAGACTTGAGTAATGCAATGAATGAGTGTATGTTAAATTATGTTGGTTGGGTATTTCGTGTCTCATGACAATTCATTTTTGTCATTCATGACTGTTGTTTGTACTGTGATCATAATCTAGATTTCCATTATGTATTGTGCAAGACTTACAGGAAATTTGGACATTTTAAGAAAATAAATTTTATATACTGTATCTTCTATTTTGTAAACTGATGAATAATACAATTGCTACAAGCTCGTATTTTTATAAATTATTATGACCTGATTTTAACCTATTCCAAATTTATAAAAAACCAAATTTTTTCACTGAGATACTATAAGACCAGATTTTGAACAAAGTTATGCACAATCTTAAAAACTTAGTGAGTAGTGCAAGGTTCTAATCCTTGAGAGCTCGTTTCTTTTTGAGTACACTAGAAATGAAAAACTCCCCTGCTTTGTATGAACTTCGGACAAGGGGTCCACTGGCAGTGTAAAGGAAACCCATGTTTTTGCCAACATCTTCCCAATGCTTGAATTTCTCTGGAGTTACATACTCAACAACCTAGAAAACAGAGACAATGTCAGGATTTTTGTAGGGCAGGGTATCAGCCTTCCAGAGTGTAATAATACTCACCATCAAATGGCGTTTTGTTGGTTGCATGTACTGGCCTAATGTTACACAATCGACTCCAGCATCAAATAAATCTAACAAGACAAAACAAAACAAAATTCAGATAATTTTGAAATTTTTATCTTAGCCCATTCCATACAAGTATTTTAAAACAGTTGCATGTTGGAGGTACCTTTCATTGTTTGCTGAACCTGTTCATCTGTCTCCCCAAGGCCAAGCATTATGGATGACTTAGTGATGAGATCGGGATTGGCTTTTTTAGCACCTTTCAGCACTGCAAGTGATTGCCTGTAATCAAGTTCCATTCAAATTGATATCTCAGGAAACAACATTAAGACAAAATAAAGGAAGCAAATTCAAAAAGCAGACCTGTAATGTGCTCTTCGATCCCTGACAAAAGGTGTCAAAGTTTCTACAGTTTCCACATTGTGAGCAAATACATCAAGACCAGACAAAGCAATAGTTTTCACATGATCCTGATTGCCTCTAAAGTCAGGTACTAAGCATTCAACAAGAATATCAGGATTTCTGGAAAATGAGAGAAAATTTGCATTATTTTGAACAGAATTGCAATTTATCTACTGTTAATTCATTTCTGGATTGAATAGACTAACTTACAAAGACTTGAATGATTACCAAAATAATGATACACCAAAACTTACAATCTTTTAATTTCCTGTACAGTTTCAGCAAAATGATTTGATCCGCCGTCCTCCAGATCTGCAACAAAGTAAGGATAGTTTGTTAACTGGCATGTAAATAAAAGATCGTAAAGTTTGGATAGAGTTGAAGAATTACTGAAGTACCATCTCTGTCGACTGATGTTAGAACAACATAGTCCAGCCCCCAAGATGCTATGGCACCAGCAGTGTTAATGGGTTCTTTTGGATCAGGGGGTGGAGGTTTACGCGCAGTTTTCACAGAACAGAAACGACATCCTCTTGTGCAAGTATCACCAAGTAACTGTACAGTTAGCAAAATTTTAGAACAGCAAATTAAATGGAGAAGTCAGAAAAATACAAAATTAATGTAAAGCCCAGAGTGATAGCTTACCATTATAGTTGCTGTTGCAGTACCATGTTTCCCTCCACCCCAGCATTCACCTATATTTGGACATCTTGCTTCCTCACAAACGGTATGCAAGTTTAATCCTCGTAACTGATCTTTTATCCGACTAAAATTTGTGCCTGTAGGAATTTTTGTTTTAAGCCATGGAGGTAATCGTAACCTCTCAGAATCACCTGCAAAAATTTGAGGGTAAATAAGGAAGTTGAATTATAACTTTAAAGTCAACTGTAGAATTATTTTTTTTGTTAGGAAGCCATAATTACCCTTGGCACGTCGCAGCTTTCCTTGATAATCTTCACCAGTTTCATTTACCGTTTCTAATGATTCCGAAATGAAATGATCAAGCCCTGGTCCCTCTGCAATTCGCTGTTTGATTTTTTCTGGTAATGTCGATGGAGTGTGGGCAAAGCGGCATAGTGAAGTATGAGGTACCTGAAGAAGAAAGCAGATTGAATTGGAAGAAACACAGGCATCCCTCAAGGGTACGCACGGTAACCTATGACTGGTGTCTAATCAACGTCATTTTGACAGTTATAAGCAATGTCACACACAAATAGGATATTGATATAATTTTTCTGTAGACAAAATTTACCTCCAAATCAAGAAAACGCAACCTTGCCAGGCTTTCCGTAAATTTCGGGCGAATCATGTCGCAACAGTCGCAACTTCACAAAAACAGCAAGCTGACGACACTACAGAGATGGAGCAGACGATACGCCCGTGCAGGGCTGGCTCCGAAATAGAAATGCAAATCGCTATCATAAGGCTATACTTGCTCAATATATACGCAAAATGACAAAACTAAAACTTTCATAATACTCTAGGTGCTTTTAAGAGTAGTATACACTCAAATAGACGTGGTTAAAAAGCAAATGGAAGTACCAGAGGACGAGCGAAGGCTCCCAGAGGACCATTTCATGTTGGCGACAATGACTACTCTCTCGTTTCACGCGCCTATTTTAAAGTAGGTCGCTGCACGGGGGTAGCAACTTTTTCTCAAGGCAAAGTGCAAAGTCCGAAAAAATAAAAAAATAGGTGCTGAAGCTCTGTGGAGCCATTCAAGGTGGAGCCGCGGTGCTGCCCACGAAGCATTAGGTTGGGCCCGGGAGCCGGCCCGAGGTCAGCCTCTCGGAGCGAGTGTATAAAGAGCAGCACGACTCTGAGGTGGGATGTTCAGTTTTAGTACCGAGTCGCCTTCTATCAAAGCGAAGTGTAAGCAAAGTAAGTAGGGTGTAAGTAGTGAAGTCCCAAGGATAACGTTTTTCTCACGAAGTCCTCATTGTGACTTCCGAGGTCACTATATGAGGTCTTCGAGAGAACTACGTTTTCCTTGGGGTGTAATTGAAGTGGGAACACCACAATCCGACCAATCACTGAAAATGATGAAATAACTATCGCACACAATAGATTCTCCATAGGGGAAAGAGAGGAACACGTTCAACAAATAATAACAAACATGAAACAACGACGTTTACTTCAAAAACTAGTTGATTCCGGCAGAACGAGCGAGCCCCTCCCTGCCCCTCGGCGCTCGGCCCTCGGCTAAGTGCTTCCGGGCTCGGCCGTCACTTCGCGCGTCGGACGGGTGTGACTGGTGTGTGACTGGCGTGTGACGGGCGTGCTCGTCGGTCCAGGGGCCTCTAATTGCGTCTCCTTGCCGACCTGCGACAGGGTCGAGCGTGGTGCATGCGGTCGTGTGCATGAAGCGTCGCCAACCAGACAGGCAAAGCATTCCCACGAACACACGTGCGGGGCGGTCTGGATCTACGCCTGCCTCCTCGAGGCAGAACACTGTTTACACTCGCGCCGAGGGTGTGCAGTGCATCGTTATAGGCACACAGGCGTGGATGCAGCCCGCTCCGCGCAGGCGAGCTCGTGGGCTTGCGTTGCCTACCCGGCTGGCAACACTGCGCGGATGGCAGGTGAGAGGAGGGGGAGGGGGAGGAGAGGAGAGCAGGTCTTGCTCTCGCATTATCGCTGCCCTCCTCTGGCGCTCTCGCGTTTACGACGTCGCCAAACTCGTCCGTGCTGCGGCCGGCAGGGCTCAGTGAGCGGCCGGAGTTAGAGATGCCCAGGACGGCGACGACGGCGAGCCCGAGGATGCTGACGCTGCTGACGGCGGCCGCGGCGCTGCTGCTGCTGGCCCCGGCGCCGCACCTGCGCGCCGTGCACGCCCTGGATACGGTGCGGGCGGCCGCACCGCTCCGCCTCCAGATCGTGCACCTCAACGACTTCCACGCCCGCTTCGAGCCCGTCTCCCCCAAGGCCAGCGAGTGCAAGGCCGGCGACCGCTGCATCGGCGGCCTGCCGCGGGTGGCGGCCGCCATCGGCGACCTGGTCAAGCGCAACCCCAACGCGCTCGTGCTCAACGGCGGCGACAACTTCCAGGGCACGCTGTGGTACTCGCTCTTCCGCTGGAACGCCACGGCCCACTTCATGCGGGAGCTGCCCTGGGACGCACTGGTACGTTATCGAAGACCGACGCTCTCGTGTCGTCACGATACTCTAGCAAGGGAAATAAAGGGAATTGCCCAAATTATGTTTTGGTCCATGTTGTGCAGACGATTGGCAACCACGAGTTCGACCACGGGATCGACGGTCTGACGCCGTTCCTCGAGCACATGAAGGAGTTCCCCTTTGTGATCGCGAACATGGACGACTCGGCCGAGGAGCGTATGAAGGGCCTGTGGACGCCGTCGGTCGTCGTGGAGAAGGACGGCCACCGCATCGGCATCGTGGGCTACATCTGGAAGGACACGCCGGTGAGGGCGAGGCGGGCGGGGGCGGGGCGGGGCGGAGCCAGGGGGTTGGGCTCGCCGCCCAATGGGGTCCGGGGGCCTCTGGGGGCCGTGCCACGGCCGCGGGTGGGCGGAGATAGAACCACCCCCTTGCACCCGGCGCGCACGCCGCCCAGGAGGTCGGCCGCGAGGTCGCCGACAGGGCCGGGGCGGCAGGGTGGCGGCCGGTGGCGGCCCGGGCCGGGGGCGTGGGCGTTCTGAACGGGGTCCACCCCGCGCCGGGCCGGGCCCCGCCCCGCCCCGCCCACCGGGAGGCGGCCGGCCCCGGAGTAATGCTGAGCTCCCCGCACTACCCCGTGACCGAGCCCACACGTCCCCTTCCTAAACCCTCCTCCTGCCCTGCAGACCATCGCCCAGACGGAGAAGCTCCGGTTCACCGACGAGCTGGAGGCGCTGGACCGGGAGGCGGCCAAGCTCAAGGCCGAGGGCGTGGACATCATCGTGGGCCTCTCGCACGCCGGCATCGAGGTCGACCTGGACGTGGCCGCCAAGACCAAGTACGCCGACGTGATCGTGGGCGCGCACTCGCACACCCTGCTGTACAACGGTACGCCCCTGCCGGGTTTGGGGGCGGGGCGAGGCGGGCGGGGCGGGGCGTGACGGCGTGACGGCCGACCCGTCGCACACGTGAGTGACGCGGGTCTGCCCACCCAGGCGGTGGCAGGCGCTGAGTCGTCCTCATCGAACGTCCGAATGCAGCAACTTTCTCGCACTGAGCCGTGTTGCCAAACACTCGGGGAGCGTCAAAATCAGTGCGGTCGAACGTACAGCTGGTAGGCCGGCCGACAGCTTTTCAACAAAACGTTACATTAAATAGGAGAAACCGCATGTTTTCGGAAAGAGGAGAGTACAAAGATTATTTTACAGAATGATAACCCCCGTACTTCCCCCCTTTCCGAAAGAATATTTTTTTACCTATTGCATGGTACTTGTTGTGTAGTCCGGCCGGCCGGCCGGTCGTACGTACGACTCTTATTTTGACGTGGCCTGAAGTGCAAGATAAGCGTCGACACAACACACTGCAACATTGAGTCATTGCCGTACACCGTTAAAATGCCTGTTCTCTCTGACTCGTCCAGGCACGGCCCCGGACGGCGAGAAGCCCTACGGCCCGTACCCGGAGGCTGTGCGGCAGGCCTCGGGCCGGACCGTGCTCGTCGTCCAGGCCTCGGCCTACACCAAGTTCCTCGGCAACCTCGAGGTGCAGTTCGACGACGAGGGCGAGGTGGGGTCCTGGGGTGGCCAGCCCATCTATTTGGACGCCGATATGCCAGAGGGTAGGTTCCTTGTCTTTACCCCACCTCCAAAACACAGAGTAGGAATTTTAAAATCCGAAAGTTTCCCAGAAAAATAAAAACTTTTTCACTAAAAATGAAAATAAAAAGTTATTTAAGATATTTCAAAAAATTGAACCTTGAGAAATATTTTTTTGGGAGGACTTTAAAAATTCCCTACGCGGATGAGAGGGAGCAGGCTCTCTGAAGCTTTTGTTTTTGACTTCAGACCAGGCGATGGTGGAAGAGATGAAGCCCTGGAAGGCTGAGGTGGAGGCGCAGGGCTCCGTGGTCGTGGGAAGCACGCTCGTCGAGCTCGACAAGCTCGCCCACGACTGCTACAGCGGCGAGTGCACCCTGGGCAACTTCGTGGCCGACGCCATGGTCCATCACGTGAGTAGCATTAGCATTTATAAATGCCCACCACCACCGAAACCATCAACCGACAACGACCACACACCACCCACATTATAAACTGTTGTTTTTCTGTTTTTCAAAGAGTAAATCAGTCGGTCACGGTCAGTAGTGGATAACGCTTGGCGATTGTATTAGGGGATTACAGTCCCCCGACTGGGGAGATTGTCCTCCTTGTCGACAGATAATCCAATTAGATTCGTTCTGTGAACCCAAAACGGTTGTGACATCGTTCATTCCATTTTTTTCCAAAAATGTATTTCTTGTGACGTGCGATTTGTGTGTTATTTTGCTGTTGTTGTTTTTTTAAACTTTCTGGTCCCTGAACACACATTGTCTGTGCAAGAAATAGTTGAAACGAGGGCAAAACCGGAGCTGTGGGAAATCTCCGCGCGCGGGAGACCCTCGCCGGAGTTTCATCAACAGTGGATGATGTGGGGTGAGGGGAGGATGGCATGGGGGTGGGTGGCGCGCATCGATTTCAAACCGGTTCAGACTGGTGGGCGCCGTTACGGAGACTTGGCGCGCGGAGCTCAGGACCGCGGAGGAGGTTGCTCCTCGCAGGGGTGGCGGCTGCACGACTCGGCGGATGGCTGGGGG